GTTGCACCAGCATGTTTGAATTACAATACTATAATACTATGCAACGTAAAGGGGAAACGGGAAACTTTCTGTACAGTGACTTTCTGTAACCTACTCTAAAATATTTAAATATTATTTATTCTCTAATGTATTTAATATTAAGAATTAAATAAAATCATTAAATACATTATTTCATTATTAATGTATTAATTTTATTAAATAAAATAAAAAGTATTTTTGTTATGCATTCTTTAGATTTTCTTTTGTATTTAAAAAATGTTGTTTTTATTGTACAGTCTATTCTACCTCTGTCTCTTTCTAGTCTATACACCCCCCCCCCCCTCCCAGTGTTGAATCAATAAAGTTTGGTCCAATCTAATCTAATCTAATTTAGTTTGTTTTATCTACTTTGCCACAGTCTGTTGTAAAACCTTAAACTAAAAGTTCACGTGATGCTGGTATGCAGCATGTTGAGGAATTGATTTGAAACCTATAACGTATAATGTTTAAATAATTCACTATTTAAAAAAGAAGAAGAAGCATTTGTGGGACAGTTAATATTATTTTATATTATTAGTTGTTATCTAGTGCATTGTAACAGTTTAATTAAGAAGCCATTGGTTCTGTGATTTTTTTATATACATTATCAAATCTCACCTTACTCAAAGGGGTTTAAACTCTGGACTGTAGGTCAAAGCTCTGTCAGCGGTTCTCTTTTCGTCGATGTGAGACCATGTGAGGCCACAATGTTGCCAAAACAACTCAGATAAACAGGACAGTGGAGTCACTGTCATGAGATGTGAATCAGGATGATTCAATTTTCTGTTCCTCTTTGTGTCGTTCTGCCTGGTGAAAATGTAACAGAGATGGGTGTAGTCCTTTTCTGCCCTTTGCAGCCTATGGGCTGTTTGTCTTTCACTGCTGTTTGAATGAAGGATCAGAAAATAAATGCACAGCCAACGGCCGGCTTTAGGTGCAAGAAACTTGATCAGCCATGAAGGTGAAGTAAGTTCAGAAAGTAAAGAACTAGTTTGTATCAAA